TTTTTGAAAGGTTGCATAACTAAGGCTCTGTAGGATTGGAATCAAACAGAAACGTCAAGCAAAAGAGGATCTCAATTCATACAAATTTGTATTTTTTAAAGCAGTGGATCAATATGAAATGTGATAAATATTTAAAAATTGAGCTCTTACATACACACTTCTTTGCTAATAAGCATCACCAGTGCTGGTTAATATTCATTGAAATTCAACTATATTATTAGTATTTATATCTGTTATTATTTCCTATCATAATTATATTTCGTTTATTTGAAACACATTGAGCCCCGCAAGTACCAGTTTGACAACCCTTGTCCTTTTAGACAAAGAAACTCCTCTTGCACGAGTTGTTTGGTAATAGATGACGATGTCGAGGGTACGGTATTCGGCTCCACCCCCACATTGCTCGGCTCTTAATTGGCAGTTATTCCAGACGCGCTCGACCTTCAACAACTGTTCCGAAAACTTCACTGCATATCAGCGAGATTATTCATGGCTCTTATTGTCTCTGCAGTAAATCTGATATTCATGTCAAGGAATTACCTTATTGATTGAAATTGGGAGACAAAATAAATTCTTTGGAAATCTCAACATTATTAAGAGCCCAAAAAAGACAAAATGTGTGAGCTAAGATGTGATTAAGCCATGATTAAGTTCCAAAAACTTCCAAAGCTCTCATTGCTTATATAACCTGTTACTGTAAAATAAGAACCTTTCCTAGGAATTGATAAAAATTTCTAAGTAAAATGATAACTTTTCTATGAAAAGAATCAAAAAATTTCCTGCACAAGGACTAATTAGTTTCAGAATTCAACAACTACAATGACTAATATAATTTTTGAATAAAAGAATGATATCATTGCCAGCTTGCGAAAAAAAAAAGTACGAGTTATATGAAGAAGGCATTGATCACAACACGTTCATCAAACTATCTATACACAAAAAGTTTGTTGAAAGGGCAGTTGTAAAATATGAATCATCTCAACATATTTCAACATTTCTAATTCTTACAAGTTAACTATAGAATATATAAGAAAGTGATTTACAGAAAATATGAGTCATAGCGACTGATTATTTTACAAAATTATTACTAAGCCATAAACATTCAAAGAGTTATAATGTGAAAGACTATGAAAATATTGCTGCTTAAGTTCTTTCTCATATGATCAGATTTTGTGCAACAGAAAGGAGCACATAATCTCATTTGTATCTTTTTCACTAAAGCGCTTAGTAAGAATGTTTTAAATAAATTATAGGATCCTTCATAGAATGAGAATTGTTTATATGCGCCCCTAACCTATCCACAAAAGAGAATTTGGTACAAGCAACTTTTTTGCTCCCAGTTTAGCTCTTTAAATTTTACAAATAGCATATTATGATAATATGTACAAATAGCCTAACTTGATAGTTCTTACGCAAAGATTCATGTTTCGAGAAATTAAAAATATATATTGGAAAGTTTCCAGATATTGAAATGCTGCTGCGGTTAGAGTAAAATTATCTCTTGACTGAATATCGTTTGCTAGTTTGTAGAGGCGCTTTTGTACGGAAATGATGAATATCAAAAGTCGAATTTGACTCGGATACATTTCAAAATTTTGGAAGTATATTAGATGGCATTACACCTCGAAGGAGCTCACTGTTTTTTAATATCAAAATCTTTGTCCCTGAACATCAAGCTCAAATTCAAAGTTAAAAAGAATGTTATATTGGTAGCTGAAAATCAAGATAGAATCAAAAAATGATAAGTTATAGCATTATCTTTCTCACGTGATGAATAAGTATTGTCGCAAGCAACGTAGTAATAAGTGATAATCGAAAAGAATTTGGACGCCCTTCACGCTTTCTCCCTTTTACGACGTCTTATCCGAGGAAAAAATGCAGAAAAGCGTAAAAAACAGCCGGATCGCTTTATGCGGAGCGAATCGACACACCTAATCGTACGTGTGCATGACGCAAATCTCAATCATGGCATGTTTCCCTGTTTTCTGAAGGACACGATCACAACGCACACATGCACTTACCCCACAGAAGCCATTTTTTGATTGCGATGGCGAATACTTCTTCGAGAGGGCGGAGGCGATCTCGTTAATCGACGCTTTCGGTTTACCATTTCGATCTGTGGCTGTGGCGGAAGCGCTGCTCGCTGACTGCTTCTCCACCCCGTTATTCTGCTGATTCTGAGATGGACTAGTAGCATTTGAAGAGGTGACTTTGTACTTCAGCGACGGATGATCAGAGAGATCTGAGACGACGGCGAATTTATCAAACCCGTTGGTGATCTGAAATGCGCGGGGGTTCGATTTATTCTTCAGTCGTCGAAATCGTAAAATTGAGCACACACACGCACACAAGGCGGCGTTGCGCTCGCTACTCACCAGATACTGTATCAAGGTCATGGTGGAGGTCGTGGTAGTCACTTCGACTACCACGAACTTGGATTGTTGCATGCTAAAAACAGAGCAAGATCACGTGGGTTAGCATGAAGGGTAGACGAAAAACCATACGAACAATACGCAATAGGAAGGGACGAGAAGTGATATAAAGTAAAAGCACGATCGGGAGAGCAGTCAGTCATTTGGTTCAGCCAACCTCATCTGACTACTTTATAAAATTGTCAAACCTATAAAGTTGTTTAAGCTTCCAACAAAGGTATCTGTTCAGATCCACCTATCTCTGCCCTATCTCGTGGCCCGTAATCCTCCCATTGCGATTAATGGCCGAAATACGTCCATGTTTGGAAAAGCGCAACAATTTCACGGAGTGCGCTGTCCCAAATAGGATTTCTTTCATTGTAACGCTCCCAATCTTAGCGCCTTAAACAGAGGAATTGACCTTGTTTCTCACTTACGTACTTATTTGGTGATAGTAAAAGATTATTGTAATGTAAGTTCAGCTTAGTTCGTCAAGCATAAGCGAAGCAGAAGAAGCGGTTGTGAAGAATATTATGCTCCGATATAGATAATTCGCTGCGTCTGCGATATACTAACCGACAAGAGGCAATACAAACTTTTCAAATTAGCATGACGCAATGTATTTTAATTTACCCGGTCTCCTTGTTTGTTTATGTTTATTCATATTACTACAAGGAATCAAGTAATTCAATTTTCCGATGATTTATTCTATGTTGGGAAGTGATTTCGAGATGGCTAATCTCGCAAGAAAAACCTGGAGTTCAGAATAGGTGTAAGAAGGCAGGACTAGGGTCTAAAACAAAATAAAATTTCTCCTTTTAGGAATTTATTACTAAGGCAAAACGTTTTGAAGTTTAATAAGAGACGTTTGCTCAAGTCA